CAGCAGCAGCAGCAGCAGTATCCTCATTCGCCGTCCCACGTACGAGCTCGTGCGTGCTGCATGGGTGCTTGCAATGCGTGCGTGCTTGCGCCTCATCAAGCACGCCTTTGCTGCTGCATTTCGGCACACGTACGCCTTAATTGCTGAGATGAGCAAAAAGCCTTATCCAGCGCAATGGGCATGCATGCGTGCATGCGCACATCATCTATCTGCACTTTGCATATATGCGCCACGCAGTCACTGAGCGACTTGTTAAATCAGCCGAGTCTTAACGCAAGCTTTAGGCGCTCGCGCAGTCCTCTGTAGTCGCGGGCAGTGCGCATCTGATGCAGATGCGCAATTCGAATCTTGATCTTGAATTCAAAATTCTGATCAAAGGTTTGAGTCACGCGACGCGATACGCGCCTTCAGGCGCACTATCACGACTCATCTCGGATCTGATCGGCACAGTCACCAGCACTCGTGACTGGTGATTGCAGGGTCGGCAGCATGCGTGACGTCAATCCGGGTCATTAAAAGGGACAGAATGTCCTCACGGTGGTGGTGATGCTGACAGTGATGCAAAGGTCAAACGTTTCCGATTGCGCATAGAGAGAGCTACGATGCTGGATTGCAATGTTGCGTGAAAAGTAGTGTACAATGGATGTGTATGGAGCAATGGGCACATGGTCCGTTGTTAGAATGTTGTAGGGCAGTGCGTGAGAGGCCTGGTAATGACAAGGATAGGGTCTCGCACAGAGCAGACTTTGCGAAGACATAGGATTGAAATGGAAGTCGACAATGTCTAGAACTCATCGACCATTGTGGCTCGCTCTGGTGGATGAGTTCGCGCCACCATTCGCGTGATCAGTCTGGGCATCGCTGTTCGAGAAGTTGGCCGACGGACTGCTCCATTCGCTCGACCAATTGCCTGGCATCCTCGCAGGACCTTGTGAAGTCGACGAACTGACAGGGTGCAGACCTTCCAAATAAAGATGCTCCAGCCTGTCCAAGTCTCCGGCCGTGTACATTGATGGAAGTACAGCTTCGCTAGCCGTGCTCGTGATGGGGCCAGGATGACCATCGGTAGAGATGGAACGAAGCAGCGAGGCATCCGGTCGATCGGCAAGCCATCTCTGCGACGAGTTGTCGAAGCGGTCTAGATCGGCAAAGTGAGCCGCAACACGATCTCGCGCTCCTTCTTGCGTTGCTAGCGTCCGCTGAAACGCCGAGGGATCCGCGCTTGCCGCATCGCCAACGTCCGACCAAGCCTTCTGCCAAGAGCCGTGTCGATTGGACTCAATGTCCATCTGTGACTCGCTGGCCGCTCTGCCAGATTGCAGCACGCCGCTCGAAGGTCCTCCAAGACCATGATTCTGCACCCACTGCGAAGGCGCATCCGAAGAATCGCCAGTAGCAGCATCTCGCGCGTGTGGTGCCACTGCATGATTGAGCGCTGGAGAGCGACCCAGAAAAGATGGTAGGTCGAGGTCGTCGTACGACGTTTGAGGCAGGCCAAATGGGCTGATCTCGTCAAACGTCGAGCTACTTGAGGGATGGCCAAGATCCGGCAGGGACTCTGCGTACGGCCCAATAGAAGAGGCATCCGCCTCGGCTGCGCTGTCGAATGCCGTGGTGTTTCCATGCTGCGCAGCAAAGGCAGCAGCGATCTCAAAAGCGCTCAGATGACGACCACCAAATGAGTCTTCGACAGTGCCTTCGTCAGCCGAAGCGTGCTGCCGTGTGGCACGCGGTTGTATGGTGACGTTGCGATCCCAGGTCCCAGAAAAGGACGCAGACTGCCCATGAAAAGGGCGCCGAACGGAGCCCGACGACTCGTCGAAATCTGCCGACTCGCTCTCTGGCTCTTCTTCGATTCCTTCGTCAGACTGCTGCTGCGGCGTGTAGCCCGGCAAGTCGAATGGCGTAGGCTCGAACGCAACTGCGAGTTGAGCATAGCTGAAATTCTGACGCAGCGTGTCTGTGGATCGCCTGCGCCTGTGCCCAGGCGCTTCCCCGACCAAGCTCGGGAAAAGCGTCTGGCTGCCGAGACTAGTGAGGCTGAGGTCGTCAGCCGGGTAGTAAGGGTTGATACGGTATGGCGACTGCATGGCGTGGCTAGACGTGAGATCCGCGGGTAGGAATGGCAACTGATGTTGGACAATGGCGGCAGCGTTCGCCTGCTGGCCGCTATGACGACTCGAAGCGGAGCGATTGACGAGCTCCTGCACCGAGGGAGTCGAGGTAACGCTCTGAGCAACTGAATGCGGCGCAGCAACAGAGGCATGGAAACGATGCGTGCGAAGTCCGTTGTCTGTAGCTGTTTGCTGGGTATCAGTGCGTTGGAAGTCAGCTTCAAGAGAGGATCTCATGCTAGGAGGCCCAAATTGTTGCTGTCGCTGATCTTCGAATTGCGCGTGCAGGGTTGCAGGATCATTCGCGGCGCCCCCTTGCGCCTGGGTCATGTAACTCTGTTGAAGTTGCTGATGCTGATGCATGGTGGTGTCAATCGACATATTACCGCTACCGCGATGCAGCAAATCGCCCGCCCACGCGCTATGCTCAGTCTGGCTAGGTGCCGAGGCTGTGCCAGAGTTGATGCTAGAGGAAGAGACGGGCTGCCAAGAGGCAGCCGAAGCGGCCCATTCCGAGAGTGATGTGCTCGGTGGCAACACAGGATCGAGGAGATCCTGAAAGGACTCTATCGAGAAGCCATTCTTGCTAGGACTCGTGCCTAGCGTGCTCGAACCACTGCTGGCAGCTAGCTGCATCAAGTCAGCGCTGGTGAGCAAAGATGAAAGATCGCTGCCAGTAGAGTTTGCTGAAGCGTCGCTTATGGTAGATGCTGGCGCCGCGGCTGTCGAACTGGCTATCGTGGGAGCGTCGACGTCCATAGCATCTCCTTGTGGCCCCGTAAATCGTTCATTACTTGAATGCGTTGCTGAGGAAGAAGGCTGACCGAGCAGAGCATTCAACTGGTCCAAGTCCATATCATCCAACGATGATGATGAAGCCGAAGGCTGCCCCTTGCTTTCGCCTTGCCAAGCATACTGAGGCGCATGTCCAGAGCTCAGGCTATGCTCCAAAGGAGGTCTACTCGCAGAAACCTCGCTGGAAGAAGGGTGGATTTGAGCTGTGTTTGGATCTTGCGATCTGGTGCCAAAGTAATGCGGAATGGGCTGGGGATACTTTTGTTCTTGAATCAAGCGCTGTTGGTGATGATGTTGATGAGTGCGCTGCTGCTGCTGCAGAGCAGTTGATGAGGGCATGCCCTCAAAATGGCTGATCTTTGGGTTTGCGCGCTTTGAGCTTTGCGTTCGTCGTAGACCACCGTCTGGTCGAGATGATTGCACATTCGGATTCATACCGCTGGCACTGCTACTGCTGCTGGAAGACGGAGCACTTGGGTTTGCGGCATGCTGCCTTTGCTGGACTTGAAGGGCGCCATTGTCGCGTGAGACTGAGCGAAGACCCGATCCAAGACGAGACGAGCCGTCGTTGAACGACGAAGATCGACTAACAGCTGCGCGTTGCTCTTCCTGTTGACGATGCTGCTCTTGCTGTGCGCGATGTTGATCCATCAGTCTTCGTGCGAGGACAGGCTCGCCCGCAGGTCTCTCCCACGCGTCGCTCATCTCTCCCTCGCTCGTCTCCAACTCGCTATGACTGACATCCCCGCTCGCGCACTGAGAGTGCGATGTAGCGCTAGTGTCGCTGGGGGGAGGAGCAACGCGAGTGGCGCGCATCGCATCCGAACCATCTCCATTTGCTTGCTCAAGTGCCGCCGATATGCTCATGGACATGCTCGAATCGGAATGAAGGGCTCCATGACTCGGGCGCCTGTCTTTCTTTCCAGACTTGGACCGAGGCTTGTAGCCCGCTTGCTCGTACAGCTCGGGGAATGCGTTGCGGAAACGATCTCTGAGATCTGTTGATTTTCTCCGCCCTTCAAAAACCGCGTCCCGAGCAATCGTAGCCCAATGAGAGCCATGCTGTGCATAGCCGCGTTTCAGCACCTCGTCCTCAGCAGCGCTAAAGGGTCGACGTTCCTTCGTCTTTCCCTTTTCGAAGATACTCGTTCCGTCTGCAGCTTTGCTGCGCACCGCCTTGCTTGTATGCGTCTTGGCATTGGGATACATGTCGTGATACGCATCTGGAAAATAAGTGCGAAATCTGTCCTTGAGATCTCCCGCAGAACGACCGGCAAAGCGTCCGCTGAACTTGGGGTCTGAAAGTATCGCCTTCCAATTGCCCACGCCGTGCTGACCAGACAACCCCTTAAACGTTAGCCTTGAATCTCAGAGCACAGGGACACGCGACACTCACAGCGTTACAGCCATCTACCAACGCTTGAGTTTCATCCTTGGACCACATATGGCGCTCAGGCTGAAGCTTCTTCGAGTGGTGCGATGCACTAAGAGAGTGGCCATCCGTCGCAGGGTCAGCTATGGCTGAAAGGTTCGTCTCGCCCGTGGGGCTGATCACGTTTGGCAAAGAGCCAGTCATGGCCGAGTGGAAAGAAGATCCAAAAGGACTGGTGCTGAGTTGTCCCGCCTTGCTAGTATCGATGATCTGCCCACCCTGTTGTTCGTCTGACAAGGTTGTTTGCTGAGCAGCCAGCACAGCAGCCGCAGTCTCTTCCAGCTCGGCCGTACTGAGCCCCATCTCTGCGGAAAGACCATCGGGCATGTCCGCGCTGTTGGCATGCTGTAAGGTCATGTGGCCAAGATGCTCTGTAGTCTGCGACGAATTTCTATCATCAGGTGGCTGTTCGGCTGCTGTGCCTTCTCCGTCCATCACGCCCTGGCGACCGCCCTGTCCACTGGCAGAAGCGCTCTGGGGTGCAGCACTCGGCACATTTGCACACATGGTGAGCTCGCGTGCACTTGTGTCACCCGGAGGAGATGATGTGGAATCTTGGTGCGAGACTAAACGCCAGCTTGAGGGGAAGGTTGCGAAAGCGCTGCTGGTGGGACAAGGGGATGTGCTACTTTTCGCCCTGGCGCGAAGCCAAGGCAGAGGTGTGATACACCTCGGAGGCACAGTGAGGGGTACCTCTACAAACAGTACAAGTATGCGAGAGGAGTAGTCGGGTGTCGGGTGTCAGAAGGGTGCGTGTGGATGGTCATGAGCATTTGAATCACGGATCACGTATGGTGATGACGCGCTTTGGGTGTAAACGGCTCGCATGCGGCGCGCGCCGAAACTCATGGCGCGGCACTCCCTGCGGAGCTTATTGACCGTCAACTTCTTCCTATATACGGCTGCAATCCTCGCGAGTCCGCCGGTCACTGCTTTAGCGTCTGTCAGGCAGCACAACACTGTGACTCAACTCACGACTGACAGCTTGCTGCTGAAATCTGACAATCGTGAATGTTGATAAATTTTTTCAGTTTGCAATTTGATTCGATGGTGAGCCTTTGCAGCTGAAAGGTACATGTAACTCAAAGTGCGAATCTCATCAATCAAAGGAGCGCACGTCGCAATCAGAATTGAATGTGATACAAGAATCAAGAATTGAATGGGCGCGAGCAGCAGAGGTCGTCCGTCGCATCGGCGTTTCTCCGCGACGATCTTAATTGTGGTTGGATGTAGGCGCGCAAAACTGCCATGCAGCAGCCATGCCGAAGGGGCCCAAGCTATAGCCGTCAGTCATCAGCCACGGCAGCCGCGCTGATGTTCGACAAAAAAATTCAGAAAGGCGCAGGACTAAGCACGTGTTATCGCTGCAAGTCGAGCTCCTTTCAGCTAAATTGATCGTTCAAATCGATTAGGTTCAGACTTGAATCAAGGATTTAAGCCTCATCTCGATTCTGTATCTAGCCTCAAAACGGATTTCCCGCGTTCAAAGATCATATAAGCCGAGATGATTCTCTGCTGGTCCGGCCATGTCGCCCGCTGCATCGAAACCAAAGCGTCTTCTCGGAATCATAGACAATTGAGGAATGACGGCGGTAGTTCTATAGGGAACCTTATGTATACCTACAGACTGCTATGAGGGGACCTCGTGCGGCGTGCACACCCAAGACTCACGTTACTGACTCGTGCTACTTCATTGGTTCGCGGAATGCTTTTGCTAGTTCTTCGCGTCCGACCGATGCCAGCACCGTCGGATGTCTCGACATGGAAGCTTGCCTCATCTCTCGTGCAAGCCAATTTGATCCGGCGCTAAAGCCGGCCAGCACTCCACTCCATGCACACCCATTGGCTACACTCAATACTCCTCACTCATGAGACACCTTTGTAATTGTCCCTTCGAGAACAGTAATACCAGGCCATTGAGGAGGCTGGTAGCATCCGGATAGAGGAAGACACGGGGGTCGACCTCTTGCGAAACGGCACGGCCGCGATATGTTGCAATGCATTTCATTCAGCGTGGCATAGGTGCTTATACTGCTTGCATCCCCTAATAGACGTCTAAAGATTGAATCGAATTTTTTCGGACTTTCTATTATATAAGCTTGCTTAGCAGTCGGCCTCTTCGAGCTCAACATCGACGCATTCGTCGGCCGAGGAAGACTTGGTGGCGCGGTAGTTGGGTCCCCAACCTCCCCAATCTTGACGACGGGCCATCTTGAAACCGGGCGAGCCCCAGCAGCTGTCTCCGAATTGCGTGGGCTTGAATGTGAAGACGGCGTCCTTGTCACCGTACAGAGGCTTGAATTGTCCCAGGGCGCTGTTGATCTTGACAGGGTAGCTCACAGTCGCGCCGTTCCTCTTGATCTCCGTCAGGCGGAAGCTACCATCCTGCCCCTTGATCGGATGGGCACGGAAGGTGGAATGATAACCGTCCAATCTCGCAAAAGCGTACTCCGAGCCGTACGTCGTCAACAGCTTTCCGTTCTCCTTCGAGCGCACTTGGAAGCAAGGATCCCGTTGGCTACATTGCCGCTGCCCCAACCAGAGCTGGAGGTGGAAGTCTGCCCGCCGGTGGAGGTGGAGCTGGATGATCCACCACCTACATGATGATGCACGTTGGAGCCGCTTCCGAACGCGCTCGAGTCACCACCAGCATTGACTCCGTGAGTGTCAATAGGAGCGCCGCCATTGTCCACGCCGGCACCCCAGCCGACTTGAGGGTTATTGTCACCCGAGGTGTTGTAAGACCAAGACACACTTCCGCCGGCTGCACCGCCGAGCGCGCCGCTGCCCTTTACGTGAGAATGGCAGTTGAGCGAGGCAGCCGTGAGCTTAGCAAGGGTAGCCTTGTCGACGCAAACCTTGTCGTCGGCATGTCCAGACTCCTGGAGGTGGCTGACGCTGGACGAGAAGGAGCTTTCGAGAGATTTAGCCCAGAGCTTCCAGATGGTCGAGGCGTCGTAACCGACACCGTTGGCGGAACGCTGACCCAGAAGAATGTCGTAGTTGCCAGTAGAGGAGATGGAAGACTCGATGGTACGGCCGATGGACTCGACGGCGTTGGGGTCGTGCACTTGTTGGCATATGCTGTCGCACTGTGCAGACGATGATACTGGACGGCCGAGCGTGTCGGCAGCGCTGACCGTGTTGATGAAGAGCAGCGCCGCGAGGGCAAGAGTCTTGAATTGGGTAGCAGAGAACATCTTGGATTAATTCGTGACGGTAAGAGTGTTGTTGAGAAGGAAGGTGATGTGGGCTTAAAAGCGCCTTTTTTATACCTTTCTATGGATGCGCCTGAAGAACGGTTCGCAGCTCAGTCAACCTGTACTTGGAAGCGTTGCAGCAAATTTCTGAGCAGCCCAACAGGGCCGCCGTTCGCCTCATCGATCTCTCGTCTTTTGACTTGCTGCCATGCTGCAGTCCTTTGAAACTCGCCAGTCGCAAGAACGTCGCTGGGCTGGGCGATCTATTCCATTCCGACCCGCTGCTGTATGTCATCGATGTTGCAGCGCATCAAAGCCCGCTAAACCGCAATACCCCTGCGACGTACAGATCGAGAGATCAGAGGTAGACTGGATTTTGACCGAGTTAGAAGAATGAGGGTCCACGACGATGCACGAGATCGAGGATGGGGAAAGACACGACATCGATCGTTGCAAAGGCCCGGTGAGCCTGGTGACCATCCAGAAGCTTGCGGAGTCTTCAGATTGGTCGAGATTGTTCGTCACAAAGGCACTTTCGACCGTGTTGATGCGCCAGCGCACAGAAGCTCTTGGCTGTCTCGGCAAGAGTTTCGAAAGAGAAATAGGGTTCAATGGGCGCCGCTGCCGGCGAAATCTACATTTCAAAAGCAACACTCAGACTTGGCCCGAGAGGTGATGGGTAGAGCACACTAGCACCACCTGGACCGCGCCCGTCGCGATCGCGATCCTCATCGCTGCCGGCTCAGCAAAGCTTTCTGTCGTTTCTTTGAGCGTCGTGGCGCTCGTTTGCAGCGGGACGAATCCTACCATCGTGTGCAAGATGATGTATTCGATAATATCAAGAGGCAGTCCCAAAGCCCGAAGTAGGGTGACGTCCTGGTGCCTGCCTTGAAATAGATGACAGGGTTGGACGAGCGTGTATGCAGGAAGCCCGTCTAAGTCTGTGCACATCGGGTCGAAAGTGCGTAGGGTTTGCGGTGTAGCTGTGCTTGTGTTGCACGTTGAAGCAGCGCTGGCGAATATGGGCGGCCACAGTGGCACGCTACCGGTGATCGAAGCAACGAGAAAGTCGCTTCAGCGCTTCACAACAACACGCACCGTGCCGAAAAGGCACGACTCGCTATTCCAAGCGAGTCTATGCGTTGCGTGGTGCTCTTCGCCATGCTTCGAGATGGATGAATGCTGCACCTACACCTATTGCCAAGCGCTACTGCGGCAAAGCAAGCGGTCGAGTATTGCTCCTAATCATTTCTGCGCATTTTTCCCTGCCAACGTCCCAAATGGCTTTGCAAGAGGAAAGTTCAACCAGACGTGCGTCAACATCAAGAGGTACTCACGACTGCTCCAGACCCTTGCTCTTCTTCCCTTTGCGATCTTGCAGCTTCGGCTCGTTTCCAATCTGGCTACGTCTGCATCTCGGCGCGCCGAATCCCGCTAGCGATTCGAAATGCGCGAGATTCAGCAGCGCCGAGCAACGTTTGACAATTCGATCGCATGATGCAAAGAAAAGAA